AGCCCAGATCTCTCAGGGCTGGCTCCATCCATTCCTGGTCCTTTGTTAAAGTATTACAGAACAGACTGTCTCCATATAGTTCATGATGTTACTGTGGGACTGTAACTTTAATTTTTTTCAAATCCTACTTGTAATGATGGTCCTCAAATGCTTTAACCTCACTTTTAGCCCACCACCCACCAGAGGTAGTGGAAAAGAAAGGATATGGGGGAAGTAGACCTGTTTAGTAATGGTTCTTTGGAGCAACTCCTGTCTGTGTTGTCTTGAAATCGGCAGTTCAGTTCACAGGTTAGCCATGGCAACTAGACCCACTCTCACACTACACAGATAGATCAGCATTCTAGTTTGGTAGTGTTGGGATGGCAAACACGAATCAGCAGCAGTGGCACAACCTAGCAGAGACAGCCAGACCTCAGCCTCAGAGCAAGTCACCAGGAGGAACCAGGGCCAACAGGAAGGCCAAAAGAAGTTCTTGACTGAGCTTTTCTAAGGGAAATGAAGATCAGTGGAGACATGAGAGCAAAAAGCATTGAACGGCTAGCTCTATAAGCCAGCCAAGCTCAGCCTTTGTCACTGTCCACTCTAAACATCATGTATCTTCCATGGGTCTTGCCTTAGCAGGTGCATCTGTCTGAGCTCACATTACTCTGCCAATCAGCCTGAGTCTGAGAAAGTGGCAAGAAACTGCAGCCACCACCAGAAGCAGCTCAACTACGCAATGTAAGGCAGACCAATACATGTGTGTCGTTATCGAAGAATCCTTCCTCAGGTAGAAAGCCTTCCTTTCATAAGCTTTAGAAGAACATCCTTTCTCTTCTGTCTGCTTCAGCTAAACGTTCCTTCATGTGTTTGCCCCAGCAAAACATCATCCTAACGATTTTCCAAAGAACTCTTTTTTTTTTTTTTTTTTTTTTGGTTTTTCGACCAAAGAACTCTTTAAGTTTCCACTTCCTGGCGCTGGTTAGAGTACTGGAAGCAAGTTTGCTAGCCCTCCAATAATAAAAGGAATAGATGTCAGTACTAGCTGGGCGGTGGTGGTACATACCTTTAATCCCAGGGAGAGGCAAGTGGATCTCTGTGAGTTTGAGGCCAGCCTGGTCTACAGAGAGAATTCCAAGATAGCCAAGGCCATACAGAGAAAACATGTCTCAAAAAGCCAAAAAAAAAAAAAAAAAAAAAGCAAATAAAATGGACTATGCAGCCACAGGGCAAAATTCTGCAACAGAGAAATTACAGAAAAGGAAGATGCTCTGTCCAGTGTCACTTGCCCTCTTGTTGGGCAGCATGGCTACCATACCTGCGTGGGGTCCTAGACAAAATGAAAAAGCCAAGGGGAAGAGGAGGATAGGGTAGAGATGGCAAGTTTTATTTCTGTTTTTTTCTCATGGTTCTTTAGGGTCCTTATATCATCTGATCAAGGTAACATATACCTGCAGCATTGGCTGCAGTAGCAGTAAATACCAGGACAGGGATTGACTAGAATCTGAGGGTGGGCTAGGGGTCCAGGAGCACAGAGGGCCTAAGTGCAGACTTCTGACCTGAGGAGTTGCCAAGTCTTCCTGCAATACCCACCTCAGATCTCAGGAGGCCAGACTTGCTGCAAAGCTTCCGGCTTTGTATGCTGTTGGGGCTGGGGAGGCCATAGTTCAGTTGTCGGATGTTCCAGGAAGTGTGTGCAGCCAAAGGCAGCCTGTCTGGACACTTGTGATAAGGCCCTGCGCCAGCTCTGGCCGTTTAGATGGTTATCGGGACCAGCAATTTCAGTAGAAGTGTTTCTTGAACTGATCAAAAACAACCCCAGGGTGACACATCTGTTTGTCCTGGGGAAAACAGGACTCATTTTAGAGGTGTGAAGAGAAAATTGAGGGGAGCTAGTGAGCTCCAAGCTATAGTCCCACTCCCCACTTAGTCACTTGGGGGACCATGAGACCGGTATACCTCAGTTTCTTCATTTTCTAACATGCTGACTCCCTTCTGCTGGGGCTTTTAACCAATTTGATGTGGAAGACATTTGCTAAGCCTTAAGAAAGCTTAGAATCAAAACAAGCAAACAAAAAGCTGGGTGTAGTGGTGCACACTTTTAATCCCAGCACTAGATAGGCAAAGGCAGGTGAATCTCTGAAGTGGAAGCCAACCCTGTCTACAGAGTGAGTTCTAGGTCAGCCAGGGAGGCCAGTCTGGTCTACTGAGTGAGTTCCAAGACAGCCATGGCGACAGAGAGAAACCCTGTCTCGAAAAAACAAAGCAAAACAAAAGGAAAGAAAACAAAAACAAAACAAAACAACAAAAACCCTCCAATCCTGTGATCCCGTTCTGTCTCCTGTTCATCTCTGAAGAACCTCTACTCTCCAGGTGTCTGTGTCTCTGCTCCCAACCTGTCCTCTGCTCGCTCACTGCATGAGGGGTGGGGCCTCCACCTGAGTGGTCTCAGCTCAGGGCCTCTAAATAGAATCCAGTTATGTGCCAATCATATCTTTCCAGAAGGGCTCCCACTGTCCTTGCACAGTCCCCCTTGGACCCTGTCCACTCTCGCCGTGCTGTCCCTTCAGCTGCTCCATCTGTGCTGTCTTTGCATGCTCAGCCTGTGTTCTCCGTCTGTGTTGTCTTTGCATGCTCAGCCTGTGTTCTGAGCTCTACCTCCTTCTGACTTGACGTCTCATCTCAGAACCACACCAAACTCCGCAGTGCTGGCACTGAACTCATGCCCCTGCATTTCTCTTGCTCTGCAAACCTACCTGAGCCTGCAAAACAATCTTCAGGGATCTTTGACACACCTCTTTCCATCACCACTGTAAGACAGTGACCATTTTATGTCGCTTTAATAAAAAATACTTGATACTGGGGTGGGGAGGGTGGTGGGTGGAGAGATGGCTCATCGGTTAAGAGCACTGACTGCTCTTCCAGAGGTCCTGAGTTCAAGTCCCAGCAGCCACATGGTGGCTCACAACCATTTTTAATGGGATCTGATGGGATCTGGTGTGTCTGAAGACAGCTACAGTGTACTCAAACATAGATACATGAATCTTTAAAAAAAAAGAAAAAATACTTGATACTGGATTATTTATTCATTTAATGAAACAGGATGTCATGTAGTCGTCCATGCTGGCATCAAACTTCTGGTCCTCCTGTCTCTTCTTAAGGGATTGGGTTACAGGCAAGTGTTCACTGTGCTTGGTGAGACTCATGATATTATAAAGAATATTATATTATAAGCTTCCATTTTGCTCACAGCTCTGGAGGCTGGGAAGTTCAAGAGTACAGCGCCTGCACCTGATGTGTTTCTACTTCAGCATGGCTCTGAAGAAAGAGCAAGCCTTTCGCCTGGTCTCTTCCTCTCCTTAGAAAGTTACTAATGTCATCACGGGGCCCTGACTCCATTCCATCCTCCTAACTCACCCATCTCCCAAAGGCCACAGGGCCCTACCTCGGTTACCATGACCACACACCACCAACATGAGTTTTAGGTTTATGCTTCTAAAAGCTGAACTTTCGCAGGACAATCCTCAAATGACCCCTGATTTTATACCTTAAGTAAAATCCACCCTCTACCACCAGCCAAGTCAAACACTTTTATTGTTTGCCTGCAACAGTCCTTTATACTGGATCTTTCTGTCCCCATTTAATGGCTATAAAACTTAACATAGTTCTCAGTAGTCAGAGAACCAGTGAGCTCATGTCAAAAGCTTGCTTTATAACCAATAACTTCCCTTTTTTTTTTTTTTTTTACTAGGTTTCTCTTTGCATAGCCCTCACCGTCTTAGAACTCAGTATTTAGGCTGGGCTAGTTTCGAATTCACAGAGATCTGCATGCGTCTGCCTCTAGTGTCCTGGGATTAAAGGCATGCACCACCTTACCCTGTGCAGCCCAATAAATTGCCATTTGACCTCCAAGTGAACATCCAAACTCCGGCCTGAAGCCACATTCTCTTCATTCCTCCTCCATCTCTATTTCAGCCTTTGGGCCTTCTGTGACCTGCACGCTTCTTTTGTAGCTGGTTTGTATACGCATGTGTGTGTTTTGAGACAGAGTTTCTTTGTGTAGCCCTGGCTGTCCTAGAACTAGCGTTGTAGACCAGACTGGCCTTGAATTTAGGGAGATCTGCCTGCCTCTGCCTCCCAAGTGCTGGGATTAAAGATATTCGCAACCAACTCCTGGCTCTTGTAGCTGTTTTTGAGACAGGATCTTGCTATGTTACAAGGTTTCCCAGCTGGAAGTCTTGGTTCTTGTGCTCTTCGGAAAGACGAATTCAGGCAGGATATAGTAACCAATAATTCATTAGATCAAGCAAGCAAGCTGAAGGACCTTATTCTTTACGTCCTATTTTTGGGAACCTATTTGGGAGTGCTTCTAGAGCTAACCTCCTGTGTAACATAGCCCAGGCTAGCCTCAAACTTGTAATCCTCTTGACTCAGTCTTCTAAACTCTGGGATTACAGATGTCAATCTCCAAGTCAAGCTTCCTCACCGTGTTTCTTGAACAAACACACTTTTGTTTTGGGCTCTGGCCAGTCACACCAAGTGGCCTGCAATTCCACATTGCCAACTAACATTACACTCCCATGTTACCATCCATAAATTTCATTTCCGAGAATTTACAACTACTCGGAATTGCAGTCTTCTCCACTTCTAACGTCAGCTAGTTTGGCTCGGTATGGCCTCCATTATAAGAACAGGCAGTCAGTCACCCCACTGTTCTTGTAAACTGAATCATTCGCTCTCCCCTGCCTCCTCCTCGTAAAAGTGCTTTAAATAAGATCTCAGGATCCCCATCGAAAAGAATCTGGGAGAAAGCACACTCATAAAGACCCCAGGAAACAAGAAAGTAGACTGAAGGTGCCTAGCATTCTTCCCGTTGGGGAGGGGTGGGAGTAAAAACCGCGCTTGCGCAAGGCTCCTTTGCTGCGCCTCCTCCGCTCCGCCGGGGGCGCTGTGGATAAACTCCGGGACAGTCGGAGCTGCTCTAGCCAGCCATCCTGCTACTCCGAGAGACTGGCGCGCCGCGGGGTCCTCCAAGATGGCGGCGCAGAGGAGGAGCCTGCTCCAGAGTGTGAGGAAACGGACCCGCTCTCCGGGCTGGGAGGGTTGGGAGCTCGGGTGTGTCCTCGGGTGCAGGAACTGTTGTCTTTAGGTGGCAGAGTGTGGACCCCTCGCCCCAGAGGCCTTTGGGTGCTTGCAGCGCGCGCGAGACCCGTGGCAGACTGGCGCCTCGCCTATTCTGCGCGTGCGCGTCGCAGGCCGGGCCTCTGGGGGTCAAGGGCGCCGGGGTCCTGCGGAGTGGGAGCGTCCTCAAGCCGGAAGGGGACGTGGCGCCGCCGAGCGGCCCATCCGGAGTGCGGACACGACTATTAATAAATAGCCCCCCGGTTGTGTAAGGCGCGCTGTATCTCTGGCATTGTGTGGACCGCCTCACATACATAAGCTTCGCAGCAGCACCAGAAAATAGCTAGGTACTATAGGTTTACTGTAGATGAGGAAACCGAGGTCAGGCAAAGTGACCTCGTGAATGGCAGAGACAGGATTAAAATTTACTCATTCTGGATCCAGAAATACCCATAAGGTTTAGACTCCTCAAAGAAGTGATGGCTTGGGGTTTTCCTTCTGCCCCCCAATTCACCGGGTTCCGTGTGGCCTCACTCAGGGGCCTTTTTCTAAGGTTAGAGTGAGAGGTTTGGTTCCAGACACCCCTACACGGTAATCTGGACCTCCATGGTTTGATGTAGTCTTCCTGTCCCTGCATCTTTCTCATGTATGTGCACAGATACACATGTATGTTAGCACAGAGTACTGTTTGGATCTGCCAGGACTGACAGGGCGCTGATCCCCTGGCATTCCCTTCCGTGGCACTCTGTAGGAGTTGCCTCTGGATGTCTCTCCTGAACTAGAATGTCGATTCCTTGAAGACAAGGGCCTCTTAGCGTGTTGACTTTACCACCTACCATCCTTGCGTGCTATGTACTTGGTCAGTGTCTGTATCCAGATGAGAAAATTGGTCAAGAACTAGGCCTTGGCTTTTCAAGGATGAGGGGAAGTAGCTTGCCTGCCCTGGAGGGTCAGAAGCGTGAGAAGTGGAGGAAGAGATAGATGACCTTCCCTTCACTATTGTGTGCCTCCTGCTCAGGCCTTTTGTAAAACCCTGGGAGTAGAGAGAGGTCTGGCTCTCTGTAAGGTCCCAGAGGGCAAGGCCCTTGTATAAATGTCTCCATTGTAGAAAGCATCTGGGGAACACTGATACGATTGTGACCTTGAGAGAAAGAGAGGCTGGGAAAAAATAGTGACTGATGCATACTGAGTTGGCTTGCTAACAAGAGAAAGGTCAATTGGTCAAGTATCTTCTGTCTCCTCGATGTGATGGAGCTCAAAGAATACCATATAGGGAGGAATGTAGACTTTTCCCAGCTCACAGAGGATGTGTTCTCTGTGTGCTGGTGGACTTAAAAAGGGGGAGGGGGATCGCTTTAACTCCTAGCATCCTGATGCTAGGGAAGGAGCGGGCAAAGACAACTGTGTAAGGCCCCTTCCATCTTCATGATGGCAGAACATCCTTTCTTGGAGGAATCCTGATGTCCTGCCCAGGCAGGGTGCAGGCTTGCTGCCCTGTCCTTTGTCCTGAGTCTGGTGAGAGCAGTTCCGATATCTGTGTTCTGCAAACGACCTTGAGAGCTGCTAGTCTGGGCCTCGTGGGAAGATGGGCACCCCAGCAGGGTGCCTATTCTCACTGTGCTCTCAATCCAGCTTGGGAAAAGGAGCATATGCCATAGCAGAGTGGCTAAGGCAGAGTCGCTGTGGATTTCCATAGGGAACCCTGGACAGACAGCGGAGAACTGCAGAGGCTTCAGAGGATGTCAAGTCTCAAACCCTGGGACAAATAGCTGAGATATCAATTTAACATATCAAAGTGAACCCGGCTGCCAACTTCTCTCAGCATCCCTCAGCCTCTACCTGGAACTCTTTAGCTCAGGGGGCTGGGGTGCTCTTCCTAAATAATTCAACCATTTTGGCTACCCACGTCTTTTGTACCTTTACCCTTTTGGCTGCTGTACTTGGTTCCCCTGCTCTCTCCCTTCCCTTCACACCCCCACTCCCCACCTCCATGGCTTAGGGTCATGTCTATTCTGGACTCTCTTAGATGTCTCTGACTCTGCTCTCCCATTTTTCTATAGTAATAAACTTTCTCCTCTACCACACCCATACCTAGGAGCAGTCATGTTCTTTCCTTTTTAATTTTTTCATTCATTCAAGACGGGAGGGACACCCAAGGGGAATACAAATTTAAATATGTACGTGAGGGATCTGTACAATCCACGTATCAGATATAGCCAGTGGTATAGGTCTGTGTTGACTGGGAGTGAAGGGTTGTGGGATAGGCTGGTAATGGACTCATGAGGGTCTTGAAAGGACATCCTTGGCCAGGTTGGTAGAATGTCTGGAAGAAAGGTATTCTGAGGGATTTTACCTTCCTTCTCTAGTCAGTGTGGTACTTTAAAAGAGTTTGGTTTTCGGGATTTTGAATTTGAGGGGTTCCTGTGTGGTTGATTTGTTTTTAATTTTTTTTTTTTTTAATTCCATGTGTATGAGTATTTTCCTGTATGTAAGTGTTCTAGGTGCATGCCTGGTGCCTGCGGAGGGCAGTAGAAGGTACCAGAGTCTCTGGAACTGAAGTTAGTTGTAAGCTGTAAGATTCTGGCAACTGAACTTGTGTCTTCTGGAACAGAAGTAAATGCTGCCAGCTACTAAGTCATCTCTCTAATGCTGAATTTGATTGATTGTTTTGAGACAAAGTCTCCCTGTGTAGCACTGGCTGACCTCCAGCTCACTATATGGCCTTAAACTCGGAGATCTATTTCCAAATGCCGGGATTTAAAGCATGCCCCACTACATTCAGCTAAGAAAAGTGGTTTTAGAGAAAATCTTAGAACAATGGTTCTCAGCCTTCCTAATGTTGTAATCCTTTAATACAGTTGTTGAAGTTGTGGTGACCCCAACCACAAAATTATCTCATTGCTACTTTATAACTAATTTTGCTACTGTTATGAATTGTAATGTAAATATCTAACATGTAGGATATCTGATATAGAACTCTTGTGACCTCCAAAAGGGTCTAGATCCGTAGGTTGAGAACCATTGCTTTAGAAGAATGCAGCCCTAGCTGCCTGAAAAAAAAACAGTGACTCCTGTTTGGATTTACAGCACAGTTTCCTCAGTCCAGAAGGACTCCCAGGAGAACCTATACTATTAAATGAACTGCCACAATGTCTCCAATTGTAGATTGATACCAGTCAGCTATGGGGGCTCTGCAAACAGCAGTGCAACCAGAGTAACGATCTGAGTGTCCACACGAGGCAAGAAGGAAATCTGGTTCAACAGGAATCGGTGGCTGGTGTTGGGTCAAACTTTTAGAACCTGACTCAGAGCAGTTTCCTTTAGACATAAGTACAGTAAGAGCTGTAAGAAGATTCCCCATGACAGTTTTCACAGTAATGCTTAAGGAGTGGCTGCCTGGAAACTCCTTAAGGATGGGTTCTATTGACTGAGAAACAATGCTCAGGACGAAGGTCTGGGGAGGAGGACTCTGGGATAAACACAGCAGTCTAGGGGATTCAGCCGTGGTCTGGCCCTACAGACAGCACAGGTCACCAGGCCATTAACTACACATCTATTCCCAGCTGTCTGGGCAACAACAAGTATGCAGCCCTTCCATTGAAGAGACAACCCTGTGTGTTCAACATTCCTGGTTTCCCTCATACTTATCAGTGAGCACAAGGACCTCGTGCCCTCTACAGCTCACTTCTGTCTTCAGTGCTGCTGTGAATGAGCCGATCCCTTGAGTGTTCCTCCTGTGGTAGGCACTGTGCTGGGGCTGAGGGACACACCCTCATGAAACTTACATTCTAGTGGAGAAGACAGATGCTAAACAGCAAATACAGATTATGTATAATTTAATAATATCTAATGACCCCTAAGGTCCAGAAAGAGGATGGCATGGGCTCTTTTCAACAGAGTGGTAGGGGATATGTCAGCATTTGTTGAGACAGAGGTAGCAGTGTGGGAGAGGATAGAATATGTGAGAGCCTGCCATTTTCAGGAGTCCCCAAGGAGGCTGGTGTGGTTAGAACACCTTGGGGAAGTGATAGCCATGGTCTGAAGGCGTTGTCATGGTCTAAAGGCGTTGTTGGCTTAGTGACTGCTGGGACAGCCTTCGGATTCTGCCAGCAACACTAGGCGTCTGAATGCTTTGACCAGGGGCCTGACGACGTCTGATTTTTGGCTAAGAAAAATTCCACTTGGGTTTTAGTAGTAAGAGTGGAAGCCTGGGGCCTGCTGAACAACGTCTGGCCTGTGTGAGAGGACACTGGCTGAGATGATAGATAGCGTAGGCAGGAGACACCGGTATGGCTGCATTTTGGACACAGAGGGAGTGTGATTTGCTGGTGAATGGAGTTGCCTATGAGCTGTGTGGCTGAGTCAGAAGATCCAAGGACTCCAAGGTCCTCTCTGAGCATCGTGCCGTGCTTGGGATGAAGAGCCCTGGAAAAGGAATGTCCTCTGAGGCAGAGAGAACCAAGAGTTTGGTTTGTAGCCAGGTGGTGCACACTTTTAGGAGGCAGAAGCAGGCGGATCTTTGTGAGTTCAAGGCGAGCATTCTCTACAGAGTGAGTTCCAGGATAGAGCTACACAGAGAAGCTTTGTTTCAAAAAAACAAACAAAGGCAAAAGTAGTTTGGTTTGTTACCTTTGGTTTGTAATGCCTGCTACTCAGGAGGCTGAATTGGAAGGGTCACTTGAATCTAGGAATCTGAGGCCAACCTTGACAACATAGTAAGATGATATCCCTAAAAGTAAAAAATAAATAAATAAATAAAGAAAAAACCCAAATTTTAAAAAAGAAAATGTCAACCTGAAATTGTTTTTAGATTTAGATTTGTCCTGAGAAATTATATTTATGAAATCACAGTTGTTACCTCTAAGTTTTTCCTAGTATACCTTAAGTAAGTACAGGACTGCACTCAGTTGGTAGTTTGCCTAGTATCCATGAAGTCCTATGTTTGAT